GTGTGTGTGTGTGTGTGTGTGTGTGTGTGTGTGTGTGTGTGTGTGTGTGTGTGTGTGTAGGGAGGTGTTTCTCCTTTCCCTCCTTCCACCTCCTGTACCATGGCAAGAATGCAAACACAGCAGGACATGTGTGCTTGGGAAACCGTGAAAGGAATGAAAAGCAACACTGTGGGACACTTGAAGTTTGTTCAACACGGGCAAAGTTTTGCAAGTTCTCCCAAACTTTCTGACGATTACGTCCACAAGCACCAGAAAACACAACAACTGCACTCCGTTATAATAATAATTAAAAAAAAGTCACCAAAGTGTTTCACTCGATTTCTGTATTAACATTAGTCCGACGCCTGTTGTTGTTGGAACAGATCGTGCAAGAGAGGAGACTCACTGAAGCCCTGCCATGTGGGCTCGTTGGCCCCCGTCAGCAGCACCAACGACAGCGAGGTGTCCAGTGACGCGCTGACAGACGACGCCATGTCTGTGACTGACAGCAGCGTGTAAGTGAATATTATCCAAACATGTGTGTGTGGTGTGGAACAGATTACCTGCTTTGAGACGTCTGTCCAGAACTGAAGCTAAACTTTTTTTTACTCTAAAACTCTTGTTTAAGACTTTGCATTCTGAGTTCAGCACCAATTCAACATCAGCCGATCTGTTGCTACTTCAGATTACCTGATGAATAATTTAGTTGTGAGACTGAAATGATCACTTCTGAGAGGCACAATTGATAAAATATTTTCTGCAGATCTGAAGTGTTGATTTGAAACCTTTTTATTTGTTCGTTTTATTTGCCATCTCAGATGATGAATTTTCCACTAAGGGTGTCGATTAAGACTGAATTTCTGGGTAAATGTTTAGTAATGACATTTAGGGATTTTTTTTTTATCTGTTTTGGTATTAAAACACCACTTGTTCCAAATGATAAGATCTGTTCGTTGTTTGGGAAGTCAATAACTTTATTTTATGTTTCCTATTTACTGTTACATTGATTTATGTGAAGTATAAATGGTGGAGCTGTTTTTACTAAGTAATTCAGTTATAAAAGGTTTCCAAACCTGCCATTGGCTTTAGGTTACTCCCATTTTGTAAATATTTTATATTTTCGTTTTCTAATTGATCAGATCAACCTGTCAGTTGTCAAAGTTTTGAGTCATTTGTGTTGTGCCACTTTTCTCATGTGGCTCATGTCTTATCTGTGTACGTGCCTCAGTCCTCGTCCTCGTTAAGAATGATCACATGTCCCTCAAATGACGAGGCGCTGTGAAGTCATTGTGTGAGGCACGGCTCGAGGCCGGGGGTGCTCGGGTCAGCTGGGTTTGGGATATAAAACCAGAAAACGTTCTCTTTTCTCTGACATGAGCTGAAGGATGATGTCAGTGGAAACGGCTGAGCTAAAGATATTTACAGACTGAGGCGCTGCCGTTCAGTGTTTGTACATAAATGCAGCAGCTGTAAATGTACAAAGGGGAGTCTGGTATCTCTGAGCAGTCAAAGAGACAGAGGCTCATATAGTCCTGTTCTGCTGTACTTTGCCCCGTGCAGTTTCAAAGCTCGGGCCGCAGGGACACAACTTCCCCACCTCATTTCCTGCCCACTTTGGCCTTGATCAGAATATCTGCCTCTCTGTAGGTCAGTTAAAAGACTCATAAACATTTAAATTTTGTTTGCAGATAAGGGGGGGTGCAGAAAAGGGGAGAAAACGACAGCAGGGGAGGAGGCGGTTGGTTGGAAAGAGAAAGAGAGCGGTGAAGAGGGGAGGGGGAGTTTTGCTTATATCTTATTTATGGATTTGCTTGGACGCTGGGGAATGCAGCTGCGCAGACTTCAAACATTACCTTATCTTACAAACCAGCCTTTTGATGTGCGGAGATCAGAGGCTGGCTGCGGCAGAGCTTGCCAAATGAAGATTGGGAGTGTGTTGGAGGGGGTGGGTGGGAGTTAGGTTTTTTTTTCTTGCTTATGCGCATGACTGTGGCATTTCAAAGCAAAAGTGGGAAAAGTGCTCCTCAGTTAGGTTAGATCACCAGGAATAATGTGCTGTTTAGCATAAGAGAATAACACTCAAATGCTCAAAGGGATAGTTCAGGGCTTTTATAGTGGGGTTCAGTGAAGAAGTTATGAACATTCAACATCTTACCTGTAGCAGATAGCTCTTTAGATTACATCAGTTTGCAGAAAAAGTGCTTAACTTTGACTTGATTGATAATCTAACAGCCAGTGTGTAAAACCAAAGTGAATTGTTTGACATCTTAAAATAAAAATCATAGTTGTTTACTTAAATGCTATTTTATGAACTTTACTTTCCCACCAGCTTCAGATTACACAGGTCCTCCAATAGAAATATGTTGTTAGAGTTTCAGGCTAATAACAGCAGTATTATATATAAAAACTGTAATGCTGAATTGTTAGCTTTGTAAAGATTTATAAAACAGTCCAGAGACCAGAGTTTGTTTTAAAAACAGCAGCAGTCCTTTTTGGTCCTGGCCTCGCTCAGACTAGCTGTTCGCTCACCTGTCCTGTCAGAATTAAGCCCTTTTCTCCCCCCTGAGGTTGTTCAAAGAGCTACACACAACAGGTGAAAGATAATAAATGCTCCTAACCTTCCTACAGAACTGCACTTCAAAAGATCTGAACTCTCACTTAAAGTTTGAAGCTCAAAATTCTCTGTGTAATGTTTGTTTTCATGTTTTGTCAGCGAAGCATGTCTGATCGATTTAACCAGGTTAGCTACACCCTTGGGTGCTGCCTTGCACCAACTCTTTGAATGGGTATAATGAGAGGGGAATGCTAACTGTGTCCTCCAGTTTAGGATAAAATTCAAGAGGGGAATGCTAATGTTGAAGGTTTTTTCACACCTCCAGCTGGGTACACAGGGCTTGGAGCCCCCAGCTGAAAAAACAWCTGTCATTTCTAGGGCAAATAAAACCTCCAACCACGTTGCTGTGGCCTAATCTGCCCTGAAATACACTAAAGCGGATCAGAAATGCTGATGTGGTTCACTTCTTATTAAACCTTAAAGAGTCACAGTGAAATAGATTAAATAATCAAGAAATTAATCTTGCATAGAGTTTTTGATCCAGCCTGTTGGCAAACAAGCCTCCTCCTGAATGGCTGCGCAGCCTTTAACGATATTTCTGATTGGATATTTGACCTGTGTGGTGCGTCTGTGCTCCCTCCAGAGATGGCATTCCTCCATATAAACTGGGCTCCAAGAAGCAGCTTCAGAGAGAGATGCAGCGCAACATGAAGATGAACAGCCAAGTTGCTCTGCCTCCCTTTCCTGTAAGTGCACGCACGCACATGTTTGTTTCTCGACCCCGTGGGGACCTTCCTTTTACTTCCATTCATGTTTTTTAGACTTTATAGCCTAACCCTGACCATATACTCTAAAATTAACCTCACAGAAACTTACCTGACCCTAAAACTAACCTAAACCTTGGTCCTAAACCTAACCCCACACCTAACAACATGCACCTAACATGCATTTGGACCTGTGGGGACCTGACATTGGTCCCCACGATTCACTTCGGTCCCCACCTGGCTGTTTTTTTTGTAAAAAATACCCCACGTTGTAGGAAAAACCCATACACACACACACACAAACTTGTTTTTATATCCTTGTGGGGCCCATCCATTGACTTCCATTCATTTTTTGGTAATTTTATATCCTAACCCTGACCACAAACCCTAAGGCTAACCTCACAGGTACCCACCTGACCCTAAAACTAACCTAAACTCAATTCACACCTTGGTCCTAAACCCAACCCCCGACCCACCACTGGCATTTAAACCAAACAGGGACTCGACCTTTGTCCCCAAATGTAGGATTTTTGTCTTAAAATTGCCCCCAAATGTCACCAAAGCCAAACACCCCCCCACCACACACACACACACACACACACACACACACACACACACACACACACGCACACACACACGTGCACACACACTCTGAAGTGTTTCCGAGCCTGGGTCCCACAGTGTAATTTCCATACCTCCCTACATTCTGGGTCTCTTGGTTCTATGAATAGTGCTTAGCAAACTGTATTTGGCATTCTTGATTCAACAACACCAGCAAAGATCTGAGGAGGAACGTCAAAGACGCAGCCTCCCACTCAGACACACAAACACACACACACACACACACACATTCTCACAAGTGCACATACAAACACGAGCCCCCTGCCTACCTTTGGTGTCACCTACACCCCCATTAGAGTTTCTTGACATCTGTGGGAGACAGGGGAGGTCTCTAAGCTGTTTATCGCCGCAGTGCTCCATACACCCCCACCCCCCCAACCGGTGCTGTAAATATGGAGAATAGGGAAGAGATGAGGAAGATCTCTGCTGCTTTATCCCTGGGGCCCTGAAATCAGCCCGGTTCCCCAACAAAAAACACAAAGATACTCACACTGACGCGCACACACACTGCTTTGATCCACAGATGAATGGAGCAAACGCACAGGAAAGTGACAACTTCCAGCAGAGTTGGCCCCCTTTTCTTCCTCAGCACTGCCKCCCCCTCCACACACACACACAACCAGCCCCGCCCCCTCCCCTAAAAGTAAAGGATCTAAGGAAAGCGTCTGAGCATGTCATGTGAGCTCTCTTCAGGTCAGAGGGGAGTTGGTAGCTTAAGGCTTTAAAGAAACTAACTTCAGGTTTAGAGGAGAATATGAGCCCAGGTCCAGATCTGAGGCTGGGGGAGGACATTGTGCAGAAGCAACAAAAGCAGCTTGTTAAAATAAACTTGACATAACCTGCTTTAGTTTTCTCCTCCCAACTGTTGTTTTGCATCAAGAAAAGCTCCGCAGATTAGATTTTTTTCCCCCCTTTCCTCCTCTTGTTGTATTCTTGTTTTTGTTTCCCATCTGATTTCTTTTTTTGGTGATGGCTGCCATTCCCATAGTGCATCAGCCCTGGGCACCATCAGACAGTTCCTCTTTTTCTCTCCCTTTTATCCAGACTACAAAGAGATATGAGGGGGGGAGAAAAAGAAGCACAATCATGAAAGTCCCAGTACAAAAAAATGCAAATACTTAAAGACGTTTGTGCACACAGACTCATACTGTCACAGTTCTGTGACTTGAAGGTGCCCAGTGTGTGACAAGGAATAAAAACACCTCAACCCCTTTTGGCACCTTTATCTCTTTCTTTCATTTCGTCTTTCTTTTTATTTCATCTTGTAAGCACACATCTCTGCATCTCAGCTTCTCCTGTTACTTTTTTCTTTTTTTAATTCTTCTCCTCCCTGGAGTTCTCTTCCACCCCCTGTTGGTTCGTGGCTTTTATTCCTAGATGTAAAGCCACTGCTTCCCATCAATCTGTCCTTCCATCTACCATCCTATTCTACCCCACTGAGTGTTTGATATTTGACGAGGAAGACTTTGAAGTAAGCTGACTTTAAAGAGGCCTGCCAATGATGACAGAGGGAACCAGCTGAGGTCTAACCCAGCATGACTGTGTGCCGGGCCTGCCGTCACTTAAAAAAAAAAGTCTGTAACCCTGGGTGTCAGTCAGCATGCCCCAATCCTTACTGCCAGAGGTGCAGAGCGATGCGTGAATTCAGTCAGGATTTATTTTTGGAAGTTGTATGAAAATGATACAACTGCTAATGTGTTTCTTTCCCCTTCACAGCGTACGCATCGTCCTCCAAAGGAGATGGTCCCGATGGAGCCGGCAGCATTCGCAGCCCAGCTGATCTCACGTCTGGAGAACCTGAAGAGGGAGCAGGACACCATCAGCTCTCTGGAGGAGAGGCTGCAGCAGATTCAGGAGGTCTGTGGCTGCGTTTCTATTGATCATGAAAATGCGCAAAATAGAATTTCGAAAATAAATTTGCTCAATGTAAGCACGTCAATTTCGAAAAAAGCTACATTTTTCAACAAAATGGTTTTGCGCTAGGATGAGGTGGTTTTTCAGCCGTATCGAAATCGGTGTATTTCACAAAACTGCAATGGAAACACTTTTTTCGCATCTTGGGAGTCACGTGATCAACAACCGGCTGTTTCTACTGGCGAAAAGACGAAGAAGAAGAAGATAACAGGAAGTAAAAGTCGTTGTAAAAGCACCGAAGTAGTAAAAGAAAGTAGTACACTCACCGACTACAATTTCCCAAAAACGCAGCATACGTAGCCACTCCAAAGTATGAGGAGCTTGTCGCTGGAAAGCCTCAATAAGACGCCGACGTCTTCTCTGATGATGAGCACTAGTGTCGTGGTAACAATATGCGTTTACATCCATTGCCGCCATGTTTGTAATGACTTACCGCGAGGACAAACGTATTCACGCGTGACTTTAATAGCATTTCTTACTTAATGGAAACACCGCAATTGCGAAACTGTTTTTTGACATTAACAGAATATTGACAAAGTTTTGAGCACATTTGCAATGGAAACGTAGCTTGTGTGACATTGGTTGTAACTATGAAAGATGTTTTTTTGTTTGTTTGTTTCTGTTTATTCATGTTTATTTGTGGCTTTTTGTTTCATCCAGGAGGAGGAAAGAGAGGACGCAGACATGAATGGAAGTGCTCCCCAGCTCTCCCCCCATCCTTTAACCCTCCTCTCTGGCTCCTCTGACGAGGATCCACAGGCCATCTTGGATGAGCACCTTTCTCGGGTCTTGAAGACCCCCGGCTGCCAGTCTCCCACTGTGATCCGGCACTCCCCTCGCTCCAGCTCTCCAGAGCACCAACTGTTTACATGCACAGGCTTTGGAGTCCAGACCCTGGGCAGGACCGGGACACCTAGTTCCTCCGTCTCCAGTCCGGACCAGGGGGCGTTCACTCTGGCCTTGGGCCCCAGCCACACCCTCGTAAGCCGGCAGAGCACAAAACACATCCACCACCACTACATTCACCACCACGCAAGCCCCAAGCCTAAAGAGCAGATCGAAAGGGAGGCGGCCCTCAGGGTGCACGGCGTGTGCTCCAGCGGTGGAAGATGCCAGTCCTGCCAGGCATACCCCCGCAGTCGCAGCCTGGGCAGAGAGATGTGCGGGGCGGTCTCCTTAGAAAACAACATGGGGTGAGTCCCGACAACTTTACTTTTGGTCTTTTTTAAGAGTGGAGGTTTGGGTTTGACCATGTCATCTTCCTGCTCCTTCTTTTCCTCCCAGTCGTTCCAGCTCTTTGTCGAGGCGCGTGTGTCGCTCAGGAGCCGAGGACGGGGTCGCAGACAGGTGTACGGAGGACTGCGGGGGCCTGCAGCTGCCCAATGACACGACAGACCCCGCCCAGAACGTGCTGCAGTGGATCTTGGAAAGCAAACGCCAGGGCAGACACAAGGCCAGCAGGTGAGCTCCGTCCTCACGGTCTGTGTCGTCCTTTTATACTTTATGTTGTTTATACGTTGTTTCATCGTCGTCTTTCTGACGCGCAGCACCCAGAACACCAAGAAACCCTTCGCGGGCTCGTCGGCTCAGACGCACACGTGGGGAGGTGGTGGAAGCTGTGGCCACCTGCGCAGCCACCAGCCAGCGCAGCCGTTCATCCAGGACCCCGCCATGCCTCCTCTCCCTCCCCCCAACACGCTGGCACAGCTGGAGGAGGCTTGCCGCAGACTGGAGGAAGTCTCCACCAAACCCACCAAGCAAAGGTACAAAAATCAGAAACTAGCCCGTAGTAAAAAAAATAAATAAATAAAAAAAACTCACCTTTTTGGCATATCTTAGCAAAAAAATGTTGCCAGACTTTTATTAGAACACTTGTTTTATTCCCCTTCTCTTTTAAGGCATTCATTATCTAATCTCCAGCGCGAGAAGACCCACCAAGTGTCTGTCCAGGGTGGAAGCGCCGTCCCGTTGTCTCTTACCAGTCCCATCACAGCTGCTGCCCTCATCACAACCAGTACTAGTCTCCAGTCAGAAGAGTAAGCTCCAGTTCTTGTGTTTTTACATCCCTACTGCTGACTGTATATGAACACTGCAGATCACAGCTCCATATAGACTCACTGATAAAAGAAGCCTCACTCAGACTGTAAGAGCTGTGAGTGTTGAGTAGTCACCATACCGCCTGCTTGATGCGCTCCTTTTATAAAAGTCTATATGTGTGCTTTTTACTGGCTGTCCTGTCAGGGAGCTGGCATTAGACCGAGCAGAGCTTAGCACAGAGACGGCTCCTCTGAAGTCGGCCTACAAAGCCTTGGACGTAGCTAAAGGGGAATTGATAACACTGTGCCCATTCTTTATGCACACACACACATTTACTGGTGGCTCTGGGTCACACATTCACAGGGAGCTGTTCCTTTAGTTTTAGTCTAGCACTGTCAGCGGTTCACTTCGTGTCAAATCTAAGCAGATTCTTTGCTCCTCGGGAGATTAGTTCTGTGTTGTTTGTTACATAAAAGATCACAAGTGTCCTAACATCCTCTGTTTGTCTGTTTGTTTTCCAACAGGTTTAAGAAAAGTCTTGGGAGCCAAGTTGGCTGCAGCGGGGAGACGGTGGTGACGTACTTCTTCTGCGGCGAGGAGATTCCTTACCGGAGGACCATGAAGAGTCACAGCCTCACTTTGGGTCACTTCAAAGAGCAGCTCCGCAAGAAAGGCAACTACAGGTAGATATTTTACTCAAAGTGAACTCTGAAAGGCGGGGTTCAGTTTTACTGCTGTGGTGCACTAAAAGAATCGAACTCCAGCGGGCAGGCTGATCTAGTGTTTCACGCTGCAGAGCATGATGTGAAAACTGCATCAGTGCGGACTGAAATGCTGCTGGTGTGTTTGATTCAGGCTGGTTTTGTGCGCCTGCCATAAAAAAGGAAAAGAGGAGAGGGGAGGGTGGCGGTGCAGGGGTTAGTGGGAGAGTTTGAACTGCTGTGATTTGGGTCCCATCTGGTATTGATTTCCATGCTAAGGCACACTTAATACACATGACTTTGAAGCCCCAGCCTCTTTCATTTTAACCAACAAAGACTCACACAAAAGGCCAGTGTGCAAATTCTTCACTGATGTTATCAGGGCCTCTTTTTTTACTGTTCCTCCTCCTCCCCACCCCAACCCCACTCATGTGTGTGTGTTTGTGTTGAATGCGCACCGTGTTTACACATGTTTCAATCATTTTATGGATATTTTTTTGAGATGTGGATTGTTAAATGCCAGATCCGCTCATTTGCCCTGCTGCTTACAGGGCCCCCGTCTGAGGGCGTGCAGCTTCACTGTGTTTGCAGAGATTTATTTATTTTATTTTTTTTTACTTTGATTGCTTCTATCTTGTGGGTGTTAGAGGGAAAAGATCAAACATTTATTGTTTAGGCAGCTCCAGGAGAAGCGCGGCTTGAGCGTGGTGTTAATAATTACAGGTATCAAACTGAAAGAAAAAGCAGAACGAACTCAGAGAAGCTTTTTCCTGTCCAGATGTGTGCAGTACTTTTTTTTTTTTTGGATCAACAAATGTGACAAGTACTTAGCTCTGGGCTTTCCACATCTGTCCGTTTGAAGACCCCCACCCCACCCCCTCGATTCCTCTTCTTTTCCGTTTTGGCTCGCTGTCTTGGTTCCTGTATCATACCAGCCGCATTTTTTTGAGGGGAAAGCGAGCTGCTTTAATAGCAGCCAGAGAATGTGTGGAGTTGGGTCATTTCAACATGGCAGCGGTTCAACAGAACAGCACTGCTTGGCCCTGCCAGACGATATTGGTGCCAGATGTCAGCACAAACAGAGGGAGAAGAGGGGAAAGGTGGTGGGATGGAGCAGGGGGGGATTTAGCCACATGAAACATGTTTCTGTGGAAATTCTCTCTCTCTTTGCACAAAAATTATAACTCTTTGAACTTTTTATTTCTTTAGAGTTGAATGTTTTTTTACTCTTTTTATAGTTCTCTCATTAGTTATTTTGTGTTTTACTTTTTTAAAAGTCTTCCTGGGTTTTAATTCTTGGCTGCCACCCTTACGTACCACTGTAGATTTCCTTTTTGTGAGCTTGTTCAACTTTTGTCATCGTAAAAAAAAAAAAACTAAACATACCTGCAGCTACCCCACACGTGGAGCAAATTGAGGTCTTTTTTTTCCATTACATAGTTAATGAGTCGGATTCCCAGACCCCGCTAACCAGCCCACCCCCGCTGCTTTTGCTTCCTCTTAAATAAGGTGGTGGTGGGTTGCATCATTATGACCCAATGAAGTCATGACTGATGAGAAGCCCCTCCTCAGTTTTTTCTCCTTCCACGAGAGTTGCCCTTCCTCTAGTTGTCGGTGAGATCCATTCTCCTCCTCCTCCGTCACTGTTTACTCTTTCTTTCTGTAATAATTAAGCGGGGATGAGGAGAAAGCAGACTCGTGTGATCTGATAGCCGAACTGCAAACAGATGGTCACACAAAATTAAGCTTTTAAATATTGATTGAATTTGAAAAAAATAAAAAATAAATAAAGGTGCTAACGCACGTGTCTCTGTCATGCAGGTACTACTTCAAGAAAGCCAGCGACGAGTTCGAGTGCGGCGCCGTGTTCGAGGAGGTGTCAGACGACGGCTCCTTGTTGCCCACGTACGAGGGCAAGATCCTGGGGAAGGTGGAGAGGATGGAGTGACTCGCTGTTGTGGATAAGCTCCTCCTCCCTGCAGACGCCTCGCGAGGCCTTTATGGATGTCCTTCGTTGAAGCTAAGTCTGTCGGACTGAAGATGTGGAAGGAAGGTCGAGGTTCGGCAGATGGACTCTTTGGAACGCAGAGAAGAGAACCAAGGATATTTACTGGACGTTGGAGAGAACAGCTGCCTTGAGTTGAAGAAAACAAGGACTGTGTGTGTATGTGTGTGTGTCGGACAGACTTTAGGTGATTGACCACTTGTCAGGGAAGCACTGGGCTTAATCTAAGGAGCTGACCTGAACCCTGCCTGTGCCGGTGTCCGCTCATGAGCAAACATTTACATTGTTTTGCATCGTATGGGATGTGTGTAAAGATTTCTATTGCTATTTATTGGAAATTTCCCAGATTTCATCAGTTTTCCACTTCCAAAATCCTTCCCTTCCGAGTCCCGTCAGAAACGAAAGCTGTTTTTTTTTTTTTTTTTTTTTTTTTTTTTTTCTGTTCAGCCCTTTTCTTGAACCAGTAAAAATGCCTCTGTAACAACTGATCTCTTTGCTGGATGACGCTTGAAGAAACGGCTCTCAGACTTAAAAGTTCGATCATATATTTACTACTGCGGCGCTATTTGTGGATGTTTTCCTATCTGCTCTGAAGGGCTCTCAGTGCGTTAGGGAAAACAAGCTAAAATGCTATTAATGTTTAATCCCCCCTCTCTAGGATTCTGCCCAGCTAGCCTTGATCAGTTAGTGCCTTTGTTTCTGTGGCGCAGGCATCGCACAAATAACCTACATGTGTAGGAAACTGCTCCGAAACAGGTCCCCAACAATGTGTTTACACCCATATGAATATTTTCCAACAGAAAGCTCTATCGTGTTTCCTCAGTGTGTGTGTATGTGTGTGTGTGTGTGTGTGTGAATCCTGCACTCTGAGCTGCAGATCTAGATGGTTATATACACTATGTTCATAGTGTTTTCACTTGAGTACAGTAGCTGTGCCTACATGGATTCTTCCCGTGTTTTTACCCAGTTTTCAGGGTATTTTTAATCCCTTGGTTTTCACAAGGGGCTTTATGTTCAAAAAGATATTTTTTATGGCTTTCTAGTATTCATCATGTTTATTTGATATTTTTCATGGCTTTTTTTTTTTTGTTCCACATGTAAAACTGTAAATTATGCGTTCTATAGAGCTCCGTTGAAAAGATGCCTCGGTACTTTAATTATTGTAATTATAAAGAGATGTAGCCTTTATTAAAATGTTCTATTTTTCAAATTAGCAGATTGCTTCCTGTGGTTTTGTGTGTGTGTGTGTGTGTGTGTGTGTGTGTGTGTGTGTGTGTGTGTGTGTGTGTGTATCTCACACACCCTGCTGTGCAGAGTGCAACTCGTCAGGTCCTGGGAGAACTCTCCGATAGATTTGCATCCATTATCAGCTCTTAGTGTGCTCCCTGCTGGAAATTAAAACATGCAGCATTAATTTGGCCACTAGAGCCTCTGTGTTTTATTGTAAGGAAGAGAAGGAGCTAAGTGTGTGTTAATGAGACATTTGGTAAATATACAGCCATAGAAGTACACATTACTCAGCTGGTTAGGTGGTGATCTGCTCGGCCTCCTGTGGCACTTTCATGTGACGACTCATTTTTCCTCAGACCTGTGGGGTAAAATATAAAATAAAAGCTACTCGGAGCTGAAAACTTTGATCGCTAACACCGACGCTCTTCACACGCTGTCATTTAAACGGTTAACGGCCCGTGGGTTTGCACACCTGCACGCTCTTATCTTCACACACACCTCTCCCTCTCTCTCACACAAACACACCACACTACTTCGCCCTCTCTCCTTTTAACTTGCCTCAGTTTACAGAGTTGCTTATGCTGCCTTTCATATTGAAAGGGCATCATGATATTGTTAAAATAGCATTTTGGTGCCTTTCATCAGGAAAGGTCAGTGCATACACTTGAAGGCCATCCTTTTGAGTCTCTAGAGGCTCTCATTGAGCGCGGCGCCGCTGTCAGAGGGCCTTCTGAACCCGTTTGTGTGCACAAAGCTGTTTTTAGGTGGAGGGTCATCCGTTTGAAGAGTGCTGCAGGGTTTGGTCAACTTTAGATGGATTTTTTGATTCACGTTGAGCTATTCATAAGTAGGTGAGTACTTAGATTTGCGGGGATTAGGAGGTTTGATGATGGACTGTAATAATCAGGAGGATTATTTATGAATGACAGAACTCTTTGGGCTGGACCCCCTCAGTACTGTACTTAAAGGGGACGTGCAAAATCCACTTTTTTAGCTGTTAAATACATTTAGTTGTGCACTTCTCTAGGAGTGCAGAAAGTTTAAATTTAGTCTCCTGGTGCTGCAATGATATCTTTAGATTCTGTTTGAATCATAGTTTTCAATCCGTTCAGTTTCCTGTTTTCTGAAGTAAGTTGCCAAATAAGATCTGGACTTACCAACTACAATTTGGTGGTTTTCATTCTCCTCTGACTCTGGCTCCAACATGTAACGCTGGATGGACACGTCTTCCTTTGCTGATGTCTTTTAATTAATATGTAAATAAAACGTTTCTGCGCCGCCGTAAACCCCACTATCAAACTAGAATGGACCGCTCTGGAAGCTGGAGGGGGGCGGGATGTGAAGCGCTTAATTTAAAGGGGCAATATTATGTGTTTCTCAGCCATACATTTAAATACTATACCATAATAAAGTATCTATGTCACCTTTAGCTGTTGTTAAAATGCTGGTTTTAGGTTTAAATAGAAAATAAACTTATCTTCTCATCACTTCGTCTTCTAAACGCCTTGAAATTGGCCTCTGTCTATTTTTTTTGTCACTTCAGTAGAAAGCGAAACCAAATATTAGTTTATTTAGTTTATTTCTTCATAATCAGTGACTTTTTTTAAGTGAAGAGAAAGTAGAGACCGAGAGAAAAACAGAGAGAGAAGTAATTAGAAAGACAGAAAGATTGAAATAGTGATTAGAAGTAGCTTGAATGTACACCAATATAACACAGGACCACACACCCAACATCTGTCCGCTCACCTGAAAAATAAATGGATAAATACGTGGAGGGCATATATAAAAATATACACCTCTGTCTCTTTAAGAACCACCTTCTGCTTCTGTCCCGTCCAGTTCAATGGGGTGGGGGGTTCGCACGTGCGCCACGATGCAGTTTACTTGGCATCTGAAAATACATTTCCTCAAAGGTATTTTGAATRTGAAAAGAGCTTCACTGAGTGAGAAGCAGTGTTAAGAGCAGCAGACAGTTAAGTTTCACTTTCACTTTACTGCCGAGAGCCTGCAGGAGTCATGGGCGGGGTGTGTGGGGAGGGGAGGTGTGCTCCATGATGAGGAAGCTCGGCTTAAAGACACATCCCAGAGGCGTTTCTGGTCCCCACCTGTCGTTTTGCTCCTCAGCATGGCTTCCTAAAAACGCTGCAGGATTTCTCAAACATGCATGAATGAGTCAAAGCAAGGCTTTGGGCATGTTTTAAACTAAAAAAATATATAGATTTTACATGATATTGCCCCTTTAAAGAGGCAGCATTAACTTGAATTTTATACAGACCCAACTCAGTGATTTAAATGTGAAAAGAAGGAATTTAAAAGCGTACGTCTCCTCTAAGTCGTATGAAAGTATCATCAAAAGCACGTATTTTTGTTTGGGCAAAATTAGAAATATGCTACCTAAATATTCTCCTGCCATCTTTCATGCTAGACTTTTAATCTGAGATTACTTTTTGATGAGACGGAACTGAAAAGAGAAAGCTGGGAACCAACATCTCCAACAAAGTAGAAGCTCTTCTACATGTGAGGTACCACATGCGGTCACTGTGCTTTCACTTCCCAAACAGTTTTTATGGAACAAAAGGCATGACGTGGAGGTAATTCTGGAACTTTTTGTGTAAAATCTGAAAGATGCTTTTGGGAAAAGATGTTTGAATACAGATTAAGTTAAAGAGCAGCTGAGACGTGGTCCTGCGGGGGAAAAAAAACTTAACCCACCGTGTGTCGCCACAAACCTCAGGTTCATTTAAACACACTTCAGCCTTGCCACTGGAGATGGGTATAAAAGAGTGAGACCCCCCAATTTGGGCCCCAGAACCCCTTCATTTAGAACCTGGATCAGCCGTGAGAGTCGTTCCACACGAGGCATCGACCCAGACGACCACAGGACTGCGGTCAACCAGGGGGCCTCGGCAGGATCCTGGTCAGGCGCCACTGACGGAGCCGATCCACGCTGCGCTTCGACCAATCACAGCCTCAGCCTTCTGTGTAGGTTTAAATAAACCACAACATGTCCAGGAACAAAAGAGCTGAAGGAGCAGAACACAGCAGAGATAACATTAAAGGGACAGTTCAGATATTTTATAGTGTGAGTCTGATGTTATGAGTAATTAATATCTTACCTGCTGTTGATAACTCTTTCTTTACATATAATCTTAAAAACCTTTGGAGTCAACCTGTCTGTGTCTGGTGAGAATTTAACCCTTTTATTTTCAAACCAAAGTCAGTCCATGATCCAGGTAGCACAGAAAGCTCTGAACTATCCCTTTAAGGGGAGTGTTCTGGATCAGTCCTGTTTTCAGTAACAAAACACACATCATATGTGACCAGAGCATCTAAAGCTGATACAAATCTTCCAGTCAAAGCTTTTCTTCCTCTCTGTGGTGCTGACAGATAAAAACGCATTATATTTCCCTCCCTAATCACACGGCGAGATGCTGAGGAGATTATGTGTCTCATAAATGCTTTGGGAAATGAAGACAACAGGGGTTTGAGGGCCAGAAATCCAATCTTCCACTTGTGTGCAGCGGCAGTATCGGGAGCCGTGCCGCTTAAAGGGCGCCGAGGATGTGAGGTAGGATAGGTGGTCAGGTCCCACTGGGGAACTCAGTGTGCATCCTCCCAACAACTGAAGGAAAATCAGCTTTTGTCCCGTCAGGGTGCGCCCATTGTCCTCTTTTGTTGTTTACTCGTGACTTAAATTTCACCTTGTGCACAGCCCCACCAAGCCACAGGAGAGCCATTGTTTCTGACTGTCGCCATCACACACACACACACACACACACACACACACACACAC